GTGACATTTAAGAATGTAAAGTATGTTTCCTCACTGTTTCTCATATGAGAGGCAACTTCATATTCGGGCGAGAAGCTTAGTCTGGGATATGTGGGATTGTTTGAGGTCTTAGAGAAAGTTGGCAAGGTTGCCTATTGCCTTGCACTGCCACCAGATCTATCACACATTCATTTGGTGTTCCACATATCTTCACTTTGAAGGTATCGCAGTGATCCGTCTCATTTCTTTTGTCATGAGCCTATCCAAATTAGAGAGAACCTCACTTATGACTAGTAGCGCGTTGAGATTCTTGATTGAAGAGAGAATGCTCTATGCACCAAAGCTATTTCTTTGGTGTGTATCTTGTGGAACAATCATAGGGTGGTTATGTCCACCTTGGAGACATAAGATGTAACATCCCACATCGCCTGGGGGAGTGGATCATGTAAGCCTTATATGTATGTTCCCATCTCTACCTAGCACGAGGCCTTTTGGGAGCTCACTAGCTTCGGGTTCCATTGGAACTCCGAAGTTAAGCAAGTAGCGCACGAGAGCATTCCCAAGATGGGTGACCCACTAAGAAGTTCTCGTATGAGTTCCTAGAAACAAAACCATGAGGGTGTGGTAGGGGCTCAAAGCGGACAATATCGTGCTACGGTAGAGTCGAGCCCAGGATGTGGTGGGGGCCCGGGCTGGGATGTGACAATTTGGTATTAGAGCCAATCCCTGGCCGAAAGTGTGTCGACGAGGACGTCGGGCCCCTAAGGGGGGTGGATTGTAACATCCCACATCGCTCAAGGGAGTGGATCTTGTAAGCCTTATATGTATATTCCTATCTCTACCTAGCACAAGGCCTTTTAGGGGGCGTTTGTTGCACCGGACTGTCTCGGACTGTACTAGCTGCAGGGACTAAGCTGGACTGGCTTAGACTAGACTAAGCTGGACTAGCTTAGTAAAGCGTTTGGTGCAGTGTCGTACTAAAAAGAAGGATAATAACAAACTATAATATTATATTTTTTAATTCATATTTAATAATATTATATTAATTAATTCTACCTTTTTTATTCTAATAATACTCTCCCTCTCTCTGGAAGCCTCCATCTTTTTCTCCCTTTTTATCTCCTTTGTTCTCTCCATCTCCATCCCACGCTCTCCACCACGTCTGAAACCTCTCGATCGAGATCCCATCGGAGAATCTCCGGTTCGGGAGGGAGCGAAAACAGGCAAAGCTGTGCAGATCGGAGACAGAGGCATCGAGATAGAGAGAGAGACTGGGGGAGAAAGATCGAGAGGGAGGAGGTTGAAAATCGACAAATCTGAAAGGTGTGAGAAATTGGAGATAGAGGCGTTGGGAGAGAGAGACTAAGGGAGAGAGAGATTGAGAGGGAAGAGACTGAGGAGAAGAGAGTCTTCGAGAAGGTGTGAGACACTCTGGTGGAGGTCGTGGTGGGGTGTGGGTGTGGATGTGGTGTGTTTGCTTCGGGAAGGAGAGTTGCAGAGATGGGGGAGAAGAAACAAGGAGAGGAATGACGGAGAAGGTTCGAGAGATTGGGGAAGGGGGAAACACGGGGAAGTGGTGGAGAGCGATTTCCAAGGTTTTCTCTCCGTCCCACGCTCTCCTTCCCTCCCCTATTTTTCAGGTTTTTATTCGGTGCAAGGTTCGAAGGTTTTTATTCGGTGCAAGATTCAAACTGGAGAGAGCTTTCCAAGTCTGTGGATTCAATCGGAGCCGCAAGTTTGTGGAGCGGCGAAACCGGCCTGCAGCGATGCCTGGCGAGCTAACCGGTGACGAGTCGGTGTTTGTGGAGTTAGGGAAGTGAGAGACGATGATGGCTTGGATTTCTTGGATCCGTTTCTGTCAAACCCAATATTGCAGACTTGGAGATCCTCTGAGATGGAGAAGAGGAAGGAGGAGAAATGCAAAGCAAGCAACACGAGGTGAAGCCTGAGGTGAAGAACAGAAAGGGAGGTGAAGCGGTGAATCGAAGAACAGAAACACGAGGTGAAGCGAAGAACAAAAACGGGACTACGAATCCCCTCGTTTTTGGTGGCTCTCGCTAAGCCCACCTAGGGCAGGATTTAGTCGGCACGAGTCCGGCTTAATCCCATTAAACACAATCCTAATTTACACCAAACACTGGACTACTAATCCTAACTAAGTAGTCCAATCCAGTGAAACTTAATCCGGCCAAACAAACGCGCCCTTAGGAGCTCACTAGCGTCGGGTTTCATCGGAACTCCAAATTTAAGCGAGTAGCGCACGAGAGCATTCCCAATATGGGTGACCCACTGGGAAATTATTGTGTGAGTTCCTAGAAACAAAACCGTGAGGGTGTGGTAGGGGCCTAAGCGGACAATATTGTGCTACGGTGGAGTTGAGCCCGGGATGTGGTGGGGGCCTAAGACGAGATGCGCCGTCACTATCCACATTTGTTTGATTTAAGTACATTGAGTTTAGGGGACTAAACTCTTTTTTAAAGGGGGAAGGATGTGAAATCCCATCCCAAATTTCATTATTTAAATTTTGTATTTCGTAGTTGTTGTGACGCATCCTTAATTATGGCGTAAATTTTTTTTCAAATTTGTAAAATGATGAAAATGCTCCTGTTGGACCAAAACGGAGTCCTATGTGCACTTTGGAGCTCATTCGATGTTTTGTCTATTTTCTTATCACATTTGGGTATCATGTGTTGATCCTGAACATATCTTGGGATCAGAGCATGACATTTACCCTACTGAGCAAGAAGCTCACCCCTTATGAATATTTGACAGGTGAGTCTTGAAAATGTAGTCAACTTTCACAGAAAGTATAGAGAAAATTTTGCAATGTAATTTAAGAGATGTTTGTTTTCTTTTTCTTTTTTATTTTATTTTTTATCCGCACACCGAGTTCGAGAATTTAATTGTTCTGCCGATTCTAAATCTAAGGCGTGACAATAATAGTGGATATTATTTAACATCATGCAACATGATGCCTTTTATATTGTCAATAACAACTCTCTTTGTATATAATACGCTAATATACAAAAAGCTCAAAGTTGCCGCAACCATATGCAATTATTACGTTGCAACTAATATGTCAAGATTTTGTCTCATCTCATTGCACCAAAAAATAGTACTTTAAGAAAAACAACAATGTTTGACAAAAAATAAAATAAAAAGAAAAACAATGAGAAATGATGTAGTCTCGTCTAATTGCACCAAAAAATAGTACTTTAAGAAAAACAATGTTTGACAAAAAAGAAAATAAAAAGAAAAACAATGAGAAATGATAATCACATTTGAGGGAATCATAGATTGGATCGCCTTAGGCATACGACATGATAACCTAGATCAATGTGACTTAGAGTATTGATGTAAGAGAAGGATTGTATTGTATTGTTATTTAACTAAATAAATTTTGATAATAATAACATACTACTTGGCATCATTCATGGTTTGTGAGAGTTAGAGTTTATTTTAATTCACTAATCTATTGAAGAAATGGTATTACTCAATGCCTTGCTAATTAAAATATTATAGATCATACATCCGTTTGAGAAATAGATTGAAGAAATTAACAAGGATAGTCAAGATCAATTTTTTTTTTTTGTTGGAATAGTTAAGATCAATTAAATAGTTAATTCATGAAATGAATAGATTGAAATAAAGGTCGATTAATCCTACAAAGTACAAACATTGGGAACTCATTTGGGTTTGAAATTAGTCACGGATTTCAAAGTTCATTGGGCCTGGACCCAATTGGGGCCCATGGATTTAAGTTGTGAGACAACATAATTCCATAAAGTCCAAAAGAGGCTGAATGAAACTCTCTTAGCCGGGTAAAGAGGGAGGGGAGATTGTAAAGTCCGTTGCTGTAGCATCTAAAATGGGCTCTTTAAATAAGGTCCTTAAGAAGAATTTAGAAAAGAGAAATCTTGTTTACACCCAACTTTTGTTTATGGACGTGCACATTGACAAAAATTTAAATCACAACTATGTTTGGATGAGAGAAATAAACTTGAAATTTGGATAAAAGTCAGAATTTATAAATTGACATGCACCAATTTCCTTGTTTGAATTTATAAACATAGAAATTTAGAATTTTTCGTGTGAAAAAAAAAAAAAAAAAAAAACTTGGAATTTGGAACCTCCAATTCCCAAGTTCGAATTATATGTAAATTACGTGTAATTTCTTAGTTTCTATGATTGAGAATTTCAAATTAAAAAAATTCTTATTCAATTTCATTGTTCTTTTATGTTAACCAAATAAGAAAATTCGTAAATTTTTAAAAATAAAATCTTGTAATTTCAATTTCAGTCATTTTAAAATTTCGTATAGATTTCTTCATCCAAACATAATGTTAGATGTTTACTTTTCCAAACATAGTGTTAGATGTTTACTTTTCCGTTGCTAAGAAAAATGTAAAAATATAATTAAAAAAGTTGTACTTGATGACATGTTTCTTTGTATATAAACCCTAGTGGGTCTTCAATTTGGGTGTCGATGAAATTAAGATTATGTTAAAGAGTCTAGTAAGTCCTTTATAGTAATTTCATATATGAGAATAAGTATTATTTTACATTAAATAAAATTGAAGGGTGTAAATACAAAAGTTTAGTGCCAACATAATTTCCCTGTAAAAAATTCCAACGCCAATCACACTCCCCATTTATAGGATAGCAACCCCATCATATTTATAGGATAGCAAAATTGCTAGGAGCTCCTAAATTTAGGAAGTGAGAAAGAAGCTTTTAAGGGTACATATTTATTATGACTCCCTAAATTAGAGACTATTGTTATATTAGAAATTTTTTATGGAGCTCCTAAAATAGCTTTGTAACCTTTTTAGCTAAAACTTAACTAAAAATAGAGAGTACGAACCTAATTCTAGGATTGTTTTTCCAGATTCAAATGCTTGATCGGAGAAACCGTAATTGATCGCCATTCCATTTTGTGAACGGTGACAATCCGATAGTTTAATTGTCATGAATTTTAAATATATTATTGTTAATGCTATATGCAACTTATAAAAACTTACGTTCATGTACCTGAAGTTCGTAGACTTTAGATCAAAGATTTTAGAGGTGCCGCTTTGACCAAAGGGTTGACTTTCCTATTAACGTTCCTCAAAGCATCGTAGTGTGTCATTGCCAACGTGTACGACTCAGATTTGAGAGTTGATGGACTTGAATCTCAACATAACTAGTAATCTGGGTTAAACAAAACGGACAAAATCCACACAAACAACTATAAAAGCCAGAGGAATGAAATAAAAACAAGGAAAAAAAAAAAATCAAAACACGTACCTTACACCTTATCTCTCCAAACTCCTTTGCCTATGGAAAGCCGAAGCACAATCGGTCTGTAAATGAAGTTGAACATGGTATGTATGCCATTTTTTTTCTTTTTCAAGTAAAATTGATCGACAAGAAGTTGAAATTGGCAGAAAATGAAATCAAGAGACACAGAAAAACAACGAAATTGACAGAATGTAATATTTTTTTGTTCTTCTGGGTTTACGGATTTGATTTTTCACTTTTAGAAGTAAAGCAAAGTAGATTAAGCAAAAGAAGGTTGCTGTGATGAAAAAACAAAACCAGACAAGTGTGTTTAATAAGAAGATGGAGCAAATAATGAGAAGGGGGATGGGAAGAACAACTCTCTTAGCATAAGAAGAGGATATAATGAACGCACGAGTGAGACAGTAGAGAAACCCTCACGTAGTATGTAATTACAAAAGACTTAAGTGACGCAATTAATTTCATGGCAATTATTCAGCACTTTGGTGTGGAAGTCAACACCAACAAATTTACAATATTAATTGTATTATAACATCAATGAGGTGAGTGTTCTGCATGAAGAAAACATCACAACAAGACTGTAGAGGTGCTAAAAATCAATTTTGTGACACTAAGTACAATATTTAGCTTTTTTTTAATTATTATTATTCAGGGAAGGGGGAGCGTTCAAAACTATTACAATAATTTAGGGGATGAGAGTTTCGAATTCTAGCCGCATAGGTGGAAACTCGATCCACTAGGATTTTAAACCATATGCAAATACAATATTTTGCTTCCTAAACAGGCCTTTTTTTTTTTTTTCCAACTCTGTACTGCTAAAATTTAACGCTTCAGTTTTACTAGATGTCCAAAAATTGTTTACTAAACACAAAATGGATGTCCCAAATCAGTCCTCAAACTAATTAAAATCTTCCAATTACATCTCTAATATTGGATGCGAAGCTATTCTATTCAAATTCTCTTCAATTTAAGTTACATAATTTATAATTTGTATGTGATACACTTGATCAATGTTTTGTTAATTCATCTTGTTTTATCAAAAAAATAATTTCAAAACCTAATTTTTACTCAGATGTTAACTCAGAAATTAAGTCAACAATTTATCCAAACAAAAATTAAAGTATAATTGAAAGACTATTACTATAGTTAAGCCTTTGTAATTTTTACCAATATTTGTGACATCCCGTCCCGGAAATATCGAAACGTACGTGTGAAATTACAATTTTACCCCTAGTGCGTTTTTCGTCACGTTTTTGGTTGTTTTGTGTGTTGTGGTATGTGTTTGGAACCACACACACTCCCACTGTCCCTCTCTCTCTCTCCTTCTGTCTTTTCTCTCTCCCCCGAGCTCCCATTTCCACCATTAACGTACGGACACACACCAAGAACCCTCAAACCTTTGCAGATCGAGGGAACCAACTATACCATTGAACTCGTGAGGTCGTGGCGAGCACAGCCATACCATTTTCAGGTGAGAAATCCTTGGTTTTCACGTCGATTCGACAATGTCCGATTCGAGTACATTCATGCAAAGTTTATTCATTGAGTTTTTGGGATTTCTAAGCTCGTAGGTGTGTTGGTGAGGTCCCAAGGAGCTTGGGAGCGCATCGTTGGAAGTGTTTCGACGTCGGAGAAGCTTGGTTCGAAGTTGGCCGAGTTTTGAGTTTTGAGACAGGTATGATCGCGTGGTTTTTAGCTTTTAAAAGTTATATAACGTGATTCTACTAGTCTAGGGCTTTCTTTTGGTCCAAGAATCATAGAAAATGGTTGAAAAACGAAGGAGAATAGTGAGTTTGAACTTTCCCAGTTTTTCCGGTGACCGGAGTCCGGCGAGGGTAGGCCGGAGAAGAAACAGGATTAACGGAATATTCCGTTAAGTTTAACGGAATATTCCTAACGGCAGTAACGGAATCTGTCAGTTTTAACGGAATATTCTGACGGCGTCAATTGACACCGTCAGTGTGCATGGCACGTGGCCGCGCGTGGGGGCGCGTAGGTCCGTGCCTATTTTGGCGCGTGGGGGCGCGTGAGGAGTCCAAAAATTATTTTAAAAATATGGTTGTGATCCTGAGGTTGTGTGGAGCACGTTGGTATATTCATTTGTCCATTTTGAGCAATGTATGAAAAGTTATTACGAGAAGTTGGTTATGTGCCTTAAAGTTAACGTTTTTATAGTTATTTCGCATATAGGTGACACGTACCCCGAGGACGAGCGTTCGCACTCGAGGCAGGGGGGCTACGACCCTTCCACATACCAGTGAGTGGGCTTTTGTTTTCCATATATACCTATATACATTTATATTCCCAGAATTTGATTAAAAATGGTTAAGTGTCTATGCCATGCACCATATTATTATTGTTTATGCATCATCACATGCATTAGTAGTGGCATATATATACATATGCATATTGGGTGCTGTGGACGCACAGGTAAGTGCCAGGTAAGCATTATTCACGTTTATGTTTCAAGTAGTGGTTTGAGACAGTTAGAGAGCTCATAACCTGCACCCCCGGTGTTAGTGCTCCCGCCCGTGGCCAGGGCACAGTCCTTCACGTGATGTTCACCTCCCGCACCTTATGCTCACCTTGGATTCAAGGTAGGTGCACAGGCCTGTCGTACAAACCACTTTAGGTGGTTCCGACTCGTAGGTGACCAGCGATTATTCGCCCAGTCTTCACGTGATCGTAGCACTTATTTACACTCAGGCCTGTCGTACAAACCACTTTAGGTGGTTCCGACTCGTGGGCAGGTTTAGATATTGAGATTGAGATTCGAGCTCTAGATGCAGCCGTACAGGTCACGTTAGGTGACTCCGGCTGCCAGATTACTTGATATTGATATGTTTATACCTGGGCACTTGCATATCCTTATGAGATTTCGGCATGGCATATTATTCGAGCATGTTTGGCATATGTATTGTGTATATATTTTCTGGGAAGTATACAGGTTTTACGGCGAGGGGTTAGAAAGTATTTTATAAATGGTTTTAGAAAGATTTGTTTTTGCCCACTCACGCTTTTGTTTTGCGCCCCTCCAGGTTCTAGTTGAGTAGCAGTTTCGGTGGTCTCCCAGAGGATTCTTCCGGCTTTTCTAACAGACACTCACCATAGTAGGGTCACCTTCGGGTGTACTATTGTTGAAATTTCGTTTGGACTGCTATAGACCTGCTCTGAATTTGTATTTCACTTGTGCTAGCACTTGTTCTAGGACTTTGTATGCTAGTTTTTAATTATTCGTACTTTTATATTACTGTTCTATTAGCTTCCGCACGTGCACATGGTTACGTCACCTTCGTGTGATGGCCAGTACGCCCTGATCTCGGTCGGGGTATGTCAATATTTGTTCTAAATTTAGACTGGAAATCCGTGCACCGGTTCCTCTATAGAAATTAAAGCTGGTTAGGAGGTTTCTCTTACTAATTTGAGTACTTATCCATAATTGAAGCTTTTCTCTAATATGGCGTGGAAGAATAAAAGTTGACTGTTAAGTCCATTTGTGCTGTCAAACTCAATCGAAAAATCTGCATGCACGAATTAAGGAGAACCACATATCTCCAGCCTAGCAATTTAATGTTGGTTGTTAGTACTTTAATGTCGGTTGTCAGTATTTTAATTGATATGGGACCATTGACCCCATTGCCTGTTCCATGATCACACACGCAAACGTCATTGAAACATTTGAAATTGAATCACTATAAAATCCGAATGAAAATTCCCTTCGGATTTTCTTTACGAGGATTTGGAAAATCATTCAATTAAATTTATTTATTGTATATTATGTGATTAATTTTTTTTAAATACTGTTTATATTTAATTTTAAATAAAAAAATTTATAATGATTTCTGATCGTACAACATATGATAAATGGATGTGATTGAAAGATATCCGAAATTTTTACAAAGAGGATCCTCATTCATAACACCCCGATGTTCACATGTAAGTCCTTCCTAACATTCAACCTTACAAAAAAGAATTTCAAACCTAACATTATAAAATAAAGATGTGTTTGCTGCATCGGACTATTTCAGATTAGACTAACTTCTGAGATAAAATTGAACTAGGCTTAGCTTTAATTAAGCAGAATAAAAATAATGAAGTATTTAGCATAGTGCCTGGCTAAGTCGCAAACTAAAATATTTTAGACCCAATATTTTTGTTCAGAGGAAAACAGAAAATTAAGAAACAAATGTAACACCCGGTTGTCCCACCATCCAGCAAAACCATTTCTATATACAACTAAGCAATTAAAATATGTCTTCCCTCACAACAAATGAGAGAGGAAAAGGCCACCAATTTAATCAAACAATTGGATGATCCAACTAGAACAAATGGAGCATCCCAATACTAAATTAACACAGTACATAGCAGAACAACGTAAATTGCTTAATTGTACATTCTACAATTTTTTTACAATAAACTCTGGAAAATTACTAACCGCCTCAGTCATCCGAGCTATATTCACTCGATTCAGGAAAAACTGCAATAGAAGCGCAGCAACACAACTCTTCATCCTTTAGGAGGAGAATTCCATTTTAAATCAACTATGCTAAATTGTGGTTGCGGCAAGATGCTCACATTGTAGGCACCACCAAGAGTCCACATGTACAAATGAGAATTCCCATGAAAAACATGACGAGTGCACGTAGTCCAGTGCAACAAACATGGGAATGGACTAACTGTTAGTCCGGTTCAGTGAAGTCTATTGAAGGTAAACAAACACACACTAAAGGATTAAGTACAAAAATTGAACAAAAAAACAAAAAGATTAAGTACAAATAACTATTCAACTTTTAGAGTAATTCCAAATTGATCTAAATCTTTTAAAATATTCTAAATTGCTATATAACGTTTTAAAGTGGTCATTCATTAGAACACCAGCATTCAGTGATGACGTCACAACCTTTAATAGATAATGTCATTAATATTAAGTGATGGTGCGAACGAATACTGAAATTAATTTTTACTACTGAAGCTAATTTTTACTAACACATCATTTATAGGAGTGATGATGAATCCCCAAATGGACTCCTCTTTGTCTAGCTAAAAGGAATTGTTTTAGAGATCGATATTTTGCTTTTGCTGAAGATCGCTATACTATTGTATTTTCTTAGTTTTCCAAGTAACTAGTGACTTTCCAAAAATTGTACAACATCCACTGGTACAACTTCTAGTGTCTCGACACCTTGCCAACAGAAATCACACAACCAAGGCTTCTCCCTTGAGGCGGAAGCTTGCAAGCTTTCATCCGATAAGGCGGTTGCTGACGATTATAATGGTGTTGTTCTTGGAATTAGGACTAGTAGTCACAGCACGACTCCAAGTAGCGTAGTTGTCTCCATTCGAAAATTTGGACACACCAATGTGATTTCTAGGGAATGTATTATGTGGTCCAACAGATCAGTGAGACTTCCAGTCT